TTGCCACTGTTTTCAGCCCAATGCATTTTAGAGCAAATGGATGCTAAGTGACCCGTCATCTGTGTTGGAGGCAGTGGTGTGAGCCGCCTCTTTGAGCCCAAGGGAAGAGTGTCGAACCGAAACAACTTTCTTTCGAGAAAGGCAAAATATTCAGTGAATATGAAGTTATTTGTTGTAAAGCATAACACGTGATGGAATATAAAAGAATTACGAGTGTTTCCCGTTGTTCGATAGAAAATTGATGTTTCTGCTATCTTGGGAAAAGCGTGGAATATTCTTCTTTGCGCAGAGTAGCTTGAAAGTTCGAAAGAAACAGTTAAGTCGCTTTCGTAGTGCACCGTCTCTGATGGCGTAGATCACAGGAGTTGTTATAGTGGCCGCATAAACAAGGAGTATGCTGACGATCTCGAAACCATCCACCCAACCACTCTTTCGTTCGGTGTACCCAACCATAACGGCTCGGTAGCAGATAACACACATGTAAGGCAGTGTCAGGCCATAAAAACTGCTCACAATCAGCACGGCTGATTTGGCGGCCTTCGCTTTTTTGAGGTAGTCACTCAGGCACTGCACACCTTCTCTGCTTTCGCCCTCCTGGCTGCAACTCATAGAGGAGAAGTTACCGAAAATGTGGCTTCGGGATAGTAATGCAGGAGACACGGATCCACGTGCTGAAGTCGACGGGGAACGGAGATATATGCCATTGCAATTGTGGCATTGAGTGTGGTGGTTTTTTAGTGTTAAAGCGGAAACCAGGAGAGCATTGGCTTCATTCGCCTGAGGTCTGTATCGTGCATGGTTTTCTGCATGCACATCGGCTGATCGACACACTATGCCATGAATCTTCGCATATCCCCAGAGGATGAAACAAAGTGGGAGTAGGAAAACGAGAGCGATGTATACGTAGGCATACAAGTAAAAGCCCTTAAAACCCTGTATCCCGACAACAAAACAGTACGTTAGACTCTTAGTCCACTCCTCGCTATTGACACTCAAGCAGATATATGGAATAAGAGCAAACACAATTGATGTGAACCATCCCAAACCAATGACTAGGAGGCATTTCCAAGAAGACATTATTCGCCAGTAGTGGAATGGTCGGCAAATGGCAATCAAACGATCTGTAGTAAGCTGAACAAGACTGAAGGACATTACCATGACGAGCGCAGTAATGGAGACCTCCACAAAGAGGCATTGAATCTTATGCTTCGCGTCTACCATGAACAGACGGCCCTTGTATTCTTGGAATTCAATCAGAATATTTGCAAGTGTGGCACACATAAAAAAAGTTATGGATGTGCAGAGACTGCAAAAGTAGTAGAAGGTTGACCTGTGCAACTTGTAATATCGGCAGATATCGCTTGACTCCGCAGAAATGCATCGATTGCGATACGAATTTCGATGGTACGGAGGTATGGGATGGGGGATGGACTGTCGACACTCAGTATTTTTCTCACGAACCCCAAGCTCGGTGTTGTTCGCATGCGCCGGAGTGGGAAATGACATGACTGTGGACTGGAGGGAGTAGGCCAGTGATGTGATATTTGCACGTGTTCTGGCAAGGAAAGCAAACTTTTTGCGACGCCTGCGGAGGTAGCATAGTCGATGCAAGGGTCTGATTGTTAGCAAAACGAACGATACATTCTCAAGGAGACTGCTAATAGCTAGACACAGTAGTATGTAGCCGCAAATTCCGTTGGAATCGGCTTCCATAAAAGTGGTGCGGTCAATGGAATTATTGTGCTCAGCGGCATGGACGGAGCCGTGACGGTCAGGTCCCATGTGCATCAAGCATGTCAGCTTGCATAGACTGAAAATGAGATTAAACTTCATAGTCTCATCCCATAAATCAAAGACGATTAGGATAACAAACAACTGCCATAGTTGGTCAGACATTGAGGCGTTTCAAATGAACCTGAAGTGCGTGTAGACACTTCTGATTAATCAGTCCACAAATCATGCTCCTAACACAACTTCCTTAATCAAGCATTAATGAGGATAAAAAGCTTGGTGACTTATGTTTTTGCCAAATGCTAGTGTTAGAACTAATGATTACGTTACATGGCATTTGATATAAAAAGTTGGAGTAGGCCAACCATTTGTAGCAATAGATGTAACATTTTAAGGCAATTCCGATCGGATGACGTGATTTATCTTCTCATTTTCTTCAAACAAACTACACACTTCAAGCCCACCTCCGTAGGCGCATTCTTTTTTGTCATAATGGAAAAATGACTGTAATAATGCCTTCGGTATTACTTGGTAGCATGCTGATTCGAGGCATCTGACCAGTGGGCACGGAGTGTGCTTTGCAAATGGTGCAGGCTGTTGAATGAAAGGCATGGTCGGACGCCCGGTAATGTAAGATGATGGGTAAAAGTGGTCACCACACAGCACATGGAAGATGCATCGATATAGTTTGTTAAACTTCTACGCCAAATTTATCATGGACTGCGTTCTATCTAGTTAATTCTCACTTGTTTAGTTCATTCCCAAGACTTTAGTGCGTTCATCACTCATCTCCTTAATCCAAATGTTGCATTCTTATTTGAATCAGTTTTGTCCCTTTCACCGGTAGGGAGCAACCATTTAAACAAGTAACACTCCGACTACTTTCCAAGGTAGTGATTATTAAATATACTGTCTCTGCTACTCCTAAGTCACCCTGTTGGGAAGCGTTGTTTTCTTCATGCGCCTTACCACAATCACGCAATACCGAGGGACACTTTTCTAGCCTGTTCGTAAGCGCGTCTTGGAAGACTTAAGATCCCCATAACCTTAGTCTGGCCACAAAAATATTAACGGCACTCCACTCGGATATTAATTTAAAAAGTTTTGCATTTGGACGTGGTGTAAAATAACAGAACATAGGAAACATGGTACCAAAATTAGGAGAGAAGCGTGTTCAAGTCTGTAAAAGATCACCACTTAAACAAGTTAGGAGATTTTTGGAGCACAGCCTGGTCAGAGGCTATTTCTATAAAACGTCAAAAAGTAACTGTCATGGCCTGACGTTTAGGATGTTTTGAATTTCAGCTGAGTGGGTCAAAGGATGGCAACTTCGGAGCATTTTGATCGCTTTCCTATTTTTAAAGAGGACGAATCGACACCATCCACGGTAGGTTGCTTTCTACAGCTTTTGACTATCATATGTCACAATAAAACAAACAGCAAACAAACACCAACTTTCCTACCACGTGATGGCCTTTTAAACTACGCTAACACGGATTAACGTTGCTATTACGGTTACCCCTTCAACAGATCATTTTCCTTTCTCCCTTCAACATCCTGATTGATACTTACCGATCTCAAGTATAGCGACAGCTCTTTAGTGGCAAAAGGGCTCACTTACAAATGCAGATGCGTGCAACCACTCAGCTTCGCAAATTGTAACAAACTGGGGTAGTAACGGGCTTTGTGTTACAAAATTGCGAAGGTGAGGGCTAGTTTTTCCGTGATATTTATGGCAAATACCAAGATTGACGGGACAGTACATGATTAGGCAAGAGCAGCAATTCTTGTTCACGCGGGTCCATAGAAGGAGCAAAAAAAACAAAACTTTGTACTCGACCGACAGCTTAAGTATTTTTTTGAAGGAATGCATTTCATTGCTTGATGTGGTACTTTCGAGGATGCTCAGCGGCCAACTTTTTCCTTTGCATGGGAGCCTGTGCCAACGGCAATTAACGCCCATTTCCTTCCCCACCGAGCATACAAGGCCAACTCGCATCGCCATTTCATAGTCCAAAGCATTCCATTCAGTTTGGCACGTGATCGACTATAGACCGGCCATAAATTGGAAACTTTTACCCTCACGCATGGTTGTACTATCTTGCTTCAACTATATTAGACAACCTTGTTCATCTGGCACCAAGTCCACCTGTCGCCATGCCTCTTAATAGTTTGTGACTGCATTATTACAGCACTCGGTGCCCTGTTTATGTACATAGGAAAAGGACTAGAGCTCATGCTTTCACATTCAAAATGCTCAACCAAACACCACAACTTACTAGTTTAGCTGGCCGAAAAAAAAACTATTTTATGGAGGTTTTGTTGGCATTAGCGATGCCAGCAATTGGTAAGCATAAGAACATTGCAGATTAAACATGATAACTTAGTTAAGTGCTCAGTGGTTTGATGGCGGCACAGTAAATATGGAGGGTTCTATATTTAATACTACGCCTTCAACGGAAGAGTGTCTTGTTGTGCTATTCCAAGTATTGCTTTCCAAATAGTACTTGCATTGAGCCTTTGCTGAGGCCACTGTTTCGGTTATTAGAACGCGTCATCGGTTGGGAACTGGGTGAATGAGCTCGGTTTATTTTTCCACTATCTCCTCAAAGGCCTCCGGTCCAATCCTGTTCACAAGAATTACGGTGTTACTAATATGCAGAAGCCACTTCTCAATTTAAAGACGGAGCCACCATATGATAACCATCCCAACATTTCCTTCGCCGTGCTGACAACCAGAGCGAAGTATGGAAGCCACAGTGACCATCCAGTAGTTGCACTTGTGAAGTGAAAAATACGCCCACCAAACCAGAAAAATGACCAGCACTATTGTGTTTCATCCTCGCCTAGGAAGCCATGACCGTGGCAGGACAGATAAATCTTCAGCCGGATCGAAGTGTGTAAACCGACATTAATAATAATGTCAAAAGTACCCTCTGTCAAATCTGTTTTGTCAGGATGAATAAGGTTTTAGTGTATTGTTCGCAATAGCGTCGACAAATGCATGATAT